AAAAAAAACGTTCAGTCTTTAGAAGTCACTTGTCATTGTATTCTGCTGTTAAATTTATTATTTCCAACCGTTTTGCAATAGTATTTTCTTGATTGAAGGCAGCATTTACAGTTCATTCATAGTTCATAGTTGCGTTGAGATTACGTTGATACAGTGTAACAATATTAGCGTCGGTGATCTCTTACCAGTGTGCCAAAATAAAAATAAAAAAACATGATCATATACACTGCAATTACAAGACTGGTAGGAGGTAATAAATTTGGGGCGAAAGTATCCAAAAATCAGTTTCTGGCTGTTGCCATGGCAGCAGTGAGCGAGAATTTTCTTTCAATTAGTGGTGGTCCAACCTGCCTGTCAAGTATGAACAAAATCAGCCAAGCCAAAAAAAAAACACAGAGCAGTTAAAAGCCGCTGGTGAAAAGTTACCCCAACTTTGAGGTCAAGTTTCTCGATAATGAAAATAGACATAAAACTACCAGTAAATTTATGCACACTCAAGCTGAGTAGAATGAGCTACTTAATCCTAGAATTGTAGGGTGAGAAGGTATACAAACATTTTTTTGGCTGTTAATCACAGAAGAGTCAAATTTCTCGGTAATAAAAAAAATAAAAATTTTCAGATTTTACCTAATAACTAGGATGATAGTGTGATCTGCCTGCCAAGTTTGAGGGAAATATGCCAAGCCAAAAAAATCACAGAAGAATTATTACGTGAAAACACTGGAAATCACACACAGAGACACACAAAATTGATTTTAAGGGCAATCCTAGTGGAGCGGATCGCCAATAGTGAACAAAAATGTTTGTAAATATATATTACTGACTGCAAAAGATGCTCATCGCGAAGTGACTTGTTCTGTTAATAAGATATTGTTGACAAAAAACATGAAATTTTTATTTTGAAATAGTTTATCATCCCGATTATAGAATTAATAAGTTTTCTGGTCAAAGTGTGGTAATTATTTGTATTCCTCTTTAGTATAAAATTATATTTATTGCGTATATTATTTAATATTTATATTTATTCCCACACCATTTCTATATTTCATAAATAATACCAGTGTATGAAATTACTATCTGTCTGTATGCCTGAAACAGGCAGGTAAAAATCAAAACTTACATGCCCAGTGGTATGGTAAAAGTTTTGTTCACAGTTTGCTTCAGTAAAAATTTTGAAAATGCAATTCTACTAAATAATACTATTAGATAAAATTGAATGCCATTCTCATCTGATGCTGATAACAATATTGTGAAACAAAATCTAACAATTTAAAATGGGAAATTTCAATTACCCGTTGTGTGTGTCAACAGAATGTGGAGTATTCTAAATTTATTTTTAATGCAGGGTTTGTGAAATTTGAATGTTACCTGCCATGGTGTCTCGTACACAATTATGGGAAATTTCAAACACTGATTGTATTCAGTAAGTGTAATTTCTAAGTGACATACAAATTTAATTTATGATGGTTTTAAAGGAGTTAAAACTGATTGAGGTCGAGCGCATGATTGTTCGTGTGTTAAGAAGGATAGATTTTTTTTCTACTTGAGAATTTTATCAAGCATCAGAATGTGAAGAAATTGATGATATATTATTTTTTTTACAAA